ACTATGCAACTTTTACAGTGTGATGGTAGAAACTTTGAAGTCACCAGTGCACATCCACTGGGAATGATTTACAGTGACAGGGGACTTTAGGAAGTAGTATTTTCGCAATCCATGAGTTGTTTTATGCCTAAACCACATCTTTAAAGGAAGACTAAGAATTTTTTTGAAGAGAAATAGCTTTGTACCAGTGCATTTGGAGGACTTGTGTGAGTCCATTTATGGTGGGAGTTCCAAGAATATTGGCTGTGTATTACTGCAACTTTACTGTGCAACTCTTTTATTATGCTTGTCTGAGGTAAAAGCTCCAAAGCATGTGCAGGGTAGGAAGGATCTATTATTCTTTGGAATTTCTTTGTGCTTATATTTAAATCATAATTATGGATATAATTTTACTAGCTATGTTAACTATTTCAATTATCACCCTAACTAATAAGCTAAAGTATAGTGCGTTGGATTTATGCATCCAGTGGTTGAAGTTTCAGATCGCAACTGACACTGCTGCATCTGTTTTGACGACCCTGGGAATGAAACAGACTGTGAGTGGTGTCTGTGAAGTCCCTCCCTATCTTAAGCCATGTTTGTTTGGCCCTTCATTCAAGCTTGTGGGAAAGCTATGGTGTACAACCAAAAGCCCTATTTACAGTCAATGTTTGATTTGTCATTCTGGGTACAGTAGGAACATGGCGGATTCCATGGAAGGTGACTGCGTGTCTGTAGATAAAGACAGCTCATTCTACAGGTAACAAAAACGTACAATTCTTATATCAGTGTTACACTATGAAAATTCGTTCTAATAATACTATACTTCTCATTTTCTGCAAATACGGTCCTCCACATGTTACACATTGGACCTTTAAATCTAATTTCATTGGCTTTTAGTGAAAACAACAAAGATGATAAAATGGTTGAGGCACCTGTGTCTGGGGTAACCATCTCTATACCCAAATGTAATTTAAAGTGAGCGATTCTGTCATTCATCAGACATGACAACAAACAAACTCCATTAAAAAGACAGGACAGTTTCAAAGTGATCAACTTTGGCTTCGGGTTTGATCAAACAAATAGTTGTTTTAACCTAGATGTCAAAATTCACTGTCACAATAGAGTTTGGTTTCAAATCTTAGTGTATTAGAGTATTTCTCTCTTAACATTAAATTTACACGCGATTAAATCAACATTCAAAGTTTAAGTCAGAAAAAAACCATAATCTATTCATCAACTGTGGTTTAATGAGCTAATCTGCTTCATCAGGACAGTGGGGCATGTTTTTTTATAAAATCTGATTAACAGTGCCGTGTCCCTGGCAACATAAACAAACAACCCAGCAACTGCCATCAGATTCTTAATCACGTCTTCACAGCTCATCACCATCACAGCCTCACTCACTCACTCACCAGTGAGGGCCTCATAGAAAAAATATACAACCATAAATCTCTCATGTGAAACCACCAATATTATTCTAACTTATAATTATTATATTTATTTATATTAT